CCCGCGCCCCGCCCCGCCCCGCCCGGCCCCGCGGCCCACACCACGAGGACGTACACCGCCAAGCGTTTGGGCTGTAATTGGAGGGTGGGATATGTGACCCGACGCTGCCTCTCGTACAAAAATGGAAGCGGTGACCCCGCGAACCGCGAACCGCGGCCGGGGCGGCACGGCGAACCACGGGCCACGGCGCGGTACGGCGCGGTCCGCGCGGCGCCCCCAGATGGCGCTGATACCGGCCGAGCGGTACGCCTGCCTCGGCCAGTGCCTAGCAGTGCCGCTTGCAGTGCCGGGCGCCCATACTCCGACACAAATGGGAAGAGTGGTGTACTGCCCGTGCTGCAGCTACAACTGCAACAATGGAGCGGTGCGGGGTGCGGGCCTGGGGCGGACTGGAACTCCGAGCGGCCGGCCGAGCCGGGCCGAGCCAGGCAGTCAACTACCGCCGCCAGGACGCGCGCCGCGCGCCGCGCCACACCTCGGGGCCGTCGAGGCGTCGTCCTGCCTGCCCTGCCTGCCCTGCCCCGCCGGCCAGCCTCGGCGACAGCGCGTCATGGTGCGGCGAGCCGACGCTGCCAGTGCCATCGGCGGCCATCGACGGCCATCGGCCACGAGGCACCACGAGGACGAGGCGGGCAGTGCACCGCCGCGAGGGGTGAGGGGTGCACGACCGCAGTCATGTCGTACACGCCGACATGGGCGCGGCCGGCAGAGCGGCGGAGCGGCGAAGCGGCGCGGCCCTGTCCGACACACCGCGGCGAGGCAGCGCGGCGGCGTCCTCGCCGAGCGCGGCACCAAAAAATGGCCGCGGCCGCGGTTCGCGTCCACGCACCGCCCTTTCCTCGGGCCTCGCGGCTCATTCCGACACGCAGGCAAATGGACTATCGGAGGCTGCAGGCTGGAGGCTGGGCCGGGCGCTAGGCCGGGCGCTAGGCCGGGCCCCGGAGCCGGACGGCGGTGTCAGACGTGAGTTATTGCGGAGAGCTGGTCCCACTCAACCACAGCGGGGGCCTGTCGCCGCGGCGCCCCGCCCCGCCCCGCCGCGCCGCGCCCCGCCCCGCCACCAGCTCGACGCACTAGAGGGACAGCCGCCTGCCACCTGCCATGCGACCGGCGGCGCGGCGGCGCGGCGGCCGTACCGTTCGGGCCTTGGGGCTGGCCGCGGTGCCGCTGGAGTGCCAGACCGCGGTAGTGCGGCGGGGTGCGGCGGGGCCGGACAGCCGATGCCTCCGATGCCATCGCCCCACGCGATGACGGCTCTATCTTGATGGATATCACCGGCGGGCCGGCGGGCCCAGTCAAAGCAGCTGAGGCGGCTGGCGGCTCGCGTCTCGCGGCTGGGCTCCTCCCCAACCTTGTTAACAATGAATGACAGGACAAATGAGAGCCCTGCCAGCCTCGCTACGCCGCGCATTAGGCCCGCCCGTCGCGGATGAGAATTTGGCTTGAGGTTACACCGCGAATAACCGCGCACTCCGCCACCGCACGCTTGTTATTTTTGGCAGCCGCTCACCGCCGCGGCCTTTTTCGTCGTCCGGACGCGCGGCGCGCAGCCAAATCGGCCAAATCGGCGGGCAGGCGCGGCAAGCGCCACTTCGCCGTTTCTTCCTCGGCGAAACAAGAGGGAACGCCGTGAATCGAGTCGTTACCGCTTCGCTGCCTCGCTGCAGTTGCATAAGAAGCCGATTGAAAAACGCGGTCGCGGCGCCGCCCCGTCATAACACTCTTCCGTCGAAGGGCGGCGCGCGAAGCAGTCCCGCTACGCGAGGCTCCGCGAGGCTACGCGCTACGCGGGATGCAGACTGATTCCGACAGTCGTTTTCGTCGCTCTGTCTCCCTCGCACTCATGGGGCGTCCCGTATCGGTGCGAGAGAGACGGAGCGACGACGGCGACTCTCGGAATCAGTCTGCCGGGCGCCGTGTTTCCCCTCGCCGAGATAAAAACGCCGAGATTCCGTCCAGTCCGCACATTAGTTTTCACTCAACAACTTTCTAGCGCCCGCGACACACTGCACCACTCGCCGGCCGTAACGGCCCGCCGGGTGATGTATGGAGTGCGGAAGGTGCGACCTCGCCCCGCCCCGCCTCGCTCGGCCCGTCCACCTGCCGCCCCGGCCCGACCCGCGCGCGGTCAACCCCCGGCAAAAAATTAAAAGTCACGTCGGATCGAAAATTTAGAGCCAGCCGTCGTTTACGGTGGCGAGTTTACGCAGCCAGTTCGGCGCTGATTGCACGCCACTGGCGGCCTGGCGCATGGCGCATCGGGGAATGCCGGGCGGGTGGTGCGCACTGCGCCCTGCAGGCCGATTCCGGGCTGCAGTTTCGTCGCTCTGTCTCTCTCGCACCGCCGAAGGCCCCAGGGGTGCGAGAGAGACAGCGTGCTGCAGTCGGTGGGCAGTCAGTCGGCAGCCAGTCGGCGCACGCGCTGCAATCGCCGCCTGTTTTATGACGTCAAGGGCTGGCCGGGCGCAGTGGCGCAGCCGGGCGGTGGCGGCCTGCCTGCAACATTGTACGCGGCGCGGAGGCGCGGCGGCGAGCCCTGATTGCGGCGTTGCGGCGGAGCGCCCATCCCCGAAAGCAGCGTTTCGGTGCATTCCGCGTCGACGGGGACCGACAGGGGCCGACAGGGGCCGACAGGCACAGCGGCCGTGAAACGCCGAGAAGACCGGACCCTGCCCTGCCTGCCTGCACGACGGCCTGGACGATGGCATGGCCGCATGCACTACATCGCATCACGCGCTTTCGCAGCCCGCCGTGCATAACTTGTCGAACGGCGGCGAAGTTACGGGAGCGGCAACAGGGACAGCTGGTTCCGAGTGTGCCTTCGTCGCTGCGTCTTCGTCGCACTCACGCGACCGCGGTGCGGGATCGCTGGCTGCAGGGCAGGCTAGGACAGCGCGGACGCTGCCAGCACGGTCTCGCCACCACTTTTACCAAAGCGAGGGCCAATGACAGCCATCGGGCTTGGAAATGATTCAGGGCTGACGGCCGGGAAGCCGAGGCTGGCAGGCAGGCAGGCAGGCAGGCTGGCAGGCAGGCAGGCAGGCAGGCAGGCAGGCAGGCAGGCAGGCAGGCAGGCAGGCAGGCAGGCAGGCAGGCTGGCAGGCAGGCAGGCAGGCAGGCAGGCAGGCAGGCAGGCAGGCAGGCAGGCAGGCAGGCAGGCAGGCAGGCAGGCAGGCAGGCAGGCAGGCAGGCAGGCAGGCTCCGCGTCTCTATTAGCCGACGCCCTGCTCCACTAAGCTGAGTAAGCTGGCGCCGCGGAGCCGCCGCCCCTGTATTGATGACGGCTGCCACGTCCTGCCGGCCGATCGGCACCGCGAGGCGACGAGGCGGCGACGACACGCACGACGGCCTGGTGATGGATGGCGTCCGCGTCCGCGGCGTCCCGGCGTCCGCGGCGTCCAGGCCCTTCGCCGCGTCCTCGCGCGTCGCCACACGACACAATTAGCCCCAACACAATCGCCTGCACGGCACAAACGCAGCGTGACGCGGCTACGCGGCGTCGGCACATCGCAGACGCGCTAATGAAAATGTTTTTCGAGTAGATTAGCTCGTCGAGGCCAGTGCTCCGCGGCGCTCCGCCGTGCCCGACAGCGCTCCGCGGATTCCCATCGATGAGATAATCTCGGGCCGACTTTTGTTTGCGTCGTAATGAGGTGTCTCGGAGCGTGAAAAGGCGAGGGCGAGGCGGACGAATAAATAGAGCCCGCGTCTTGCTCGTCATCGCCGCCCCGCCGCCTTGCCGCCTTTCCGGGCGGCACCTCGCGGCCACCTCGCGGCCACCTCCCGCAGGAAGCGCGGGAGAGGCGGCGTCCGGGACCGCCACCCTGGTTGCAGCAAGGCGGCGGAGACTGCACCGCCAGCACCGCGCCTCTCCAATCAGGGAGTCCCGTACGCCACGTGACCCCCGCCACGCACGCTCCGCGCAGGATATGAAAAATCCACCGCGTCGGCGCGGCGCCTCGTTGGCAAGGCGGATCAAGGCCACCGCAGTGACGGGGTCAACGGTCAAGGGTCGCGGCGCCACGCCTCGCCGTGCCGCCCCGCGGCCTCTGTGGCGGTCACTGCCGGCCGGCCGCGACAAACCACAGCGTCATAACCGCAAGGCGACGCTGGCGACGCTACCTCCCCGACGGCCGCCGAAGAGTCGTCCCGTCGCTCTGTCTCTCTCGCACCCCTAGGAAACGCCGCATGAGTGCCACAAAGACAGCAACGGAACGGCTCTGCTGCCGTCTTCTCCTCCCCCCCCCCCTCGGCTGACACATTGGCCACGCACAATCTAGCCGTCCATATTGGCCAGTCTGGACGGCAGCACCGCCAAACCACCGCCTCGCTGGCAGCGCCTGCACTGGGCAGCGCCTCGCTCAGTGTCGTTGCAGAGGCAAGCTGCGCCGTTTGGAGGACGATGATGCATCGCGTTTGATACACTTTTTTAATCCCCACAAACAGGTTGGCCGCGCGCTGCCCCGCCCCGCCACGCCCCGCCACGCCCCAACGCGTACGGAGGCTGATCGAGTGCGTTATACAGCATGCCCATGAGCAGCCCGTTAGAAAACTTATTTTGATGGCGATCATTTTCGCAGCTGGGAGCGCCATCGCCGTAATATTTTGTAGCAGTTTAATAGTCGGCGGGAGGGCTGGGCAGGGCAGGGCAGGGCAGGGCAGGGCAGGGCAGGGCAGGGCTGGGCAGGGCAGGGCTGGGCAGGGCAGGGCAGGGCAGGGCTGGGCAGTGCCGCTGTCCGGCGGCCACGGCATGGATGGAGGTCAGCCGATGTAAAAATGATTACGAGCTGGGTTGGGAGAGTGACGTCTCTAAGTACACTCCCGTCGAGTTGGGCCGAGTTCGCCCGTTAAACTGGGGCGATTTGACAGTTTATCGTACCGTGCCACAGAGACGTCGCGAGAGAAGAGCCTAGCCGCCGGGATGCGGCGGAAAATGGATTTCGTGAAGGAAACAAAAAAAATCCGTCTGACGTCCACCTTTTTCTCGTTGTGCCCTCCAGGTCCGCCAACTACCACAACAACACCGGCGAGTGCTCGCTCTCCGACATGGACCGCCTGACGGTGGCCGGGTCGGGCGCCTTCCGGCCGGCGCAGGACACCGACTACCTGGAGAACAACTGCGTGGAGGAGCCCGTCAAGCTGTGCGAGTTCCGCAAGGTGGCGGGCCGCATCCTCAAGACGGTGGACTCGGTCTACCAGGAGGTGGGCTCGGCGGACGAGTGCCGCGAGCTGTGCCTCAACTCGCCGTACCGCTGCCACTCGTACGACTACGGCGACACCGGCGAGCTGGTCTGCCGACTCAGCCACCACTCCAGGGCCACCCTCGCCGACATCCAGGTCAGTCGCTTTCCGGCCCACTCGAAAAGAGTGAGTGGCCGAGAGGCGAGGCGGTATGTTAAACAAACCCGACCGGGCCCAACTGCATCCGATTTGAGCCGGTGCGGGTTCAACGGCCGGCCGAGGGCCCGGCGGCCCGACCGGCCGCGTGGGGGGCTCGGCGTGGAGGGGGCGCGCCGGCGACACGTCCATGTGAACCTTGACCGTGGCCTGGACGGGCGGCACGGTGTCACCGCCTCGCCGGCCGCGCCGCGCCGCGCCTCATGTTGCCCCAGGTACCGGTGGGCTGCACTGCCCCGCGCCGCACCGCCCCGCACCGCCCGTCGAGCCGCTCGCTCCAAAGCCGGTCCAGTTTATTTCGGGCTCCAATGGGTCAGGCAGGCCAAAGGCGGGCCGGGCCGCCCGCCTCAGTGAGTCACGCGGGTGGGGGACGCCCGACGACCCCACTTCTGCATGCACCAAATGAATCCCCCCGAACCCGTTCCCCAACTATTTAACCCGCCGTTGAATGTCACGCCCGCCCCCGCCAGCAGGGCCGGGCCTTGGGCCGGGCCGGGACGGACTGCCGGCACCGCGCCAAACGGCGACGCCCGCGAGAACGAGCCAATCAGGGGCGCCACCCACGCCGTCGACGGATCGCTCCCCTTTCCGACACCCCCTTCTTTTTCAAAATGTCTCACTCATGCACGCGGCTCGGACAGTGCCAAGGAGTCCATTCCGGAGACCGTAAACCGAAACGGCCATTCAAGCCGCCATCAGTCAGTGATTCCGCGCGGTTCACCTGCCCCGCCCCGCCCGCCGCCGCCGCCCCGCCCCGCCCCGCCCCGCCCCGCCCCGGCCGACGCGACCGCAGCCTATCAGCTGCGCGCTCTGTGCTCTTTAGATGCCAGCGGCAGCAACAAAAACAATAATTCGAGCATCGCACTGCCAGCATTACTGTTGATAAACACTCGCTTCCTCTGGGAACTCGACCGAGGGCTCGACCTCTACCCGTCTGCTCGCCGGACTGCGGCAGCACTGCGGCAGCAGCATGCAGAATGGCATTCGATTCACGTCGCGCGTGCAGCCCGGCCCGGACGCCGAACTGAGCGTCTCGTCGCTCTGTCTCTCTCGCACCCCTGGGGACCGCCCCGAGTGTGCGAGAGAGACAGAGTGGCGAAAGCCCTCTTCGGAATCAGCCTGCAGGCCAGGCGAGCCTTGTCAATCCAATCCCGGCGGGCAATAATAAAGATATTTGCGGTCGGAGGCTGGCCGGGCCTAATATTAGTGCTGGCCGGGACGCGCAGCGCGCAGCGCGCACGGGGAGGCGCATGTGCCTGGCCGCCCGGCCGCCCGGTCGGCAGTAAAGATGCCCAGGGCGCAGGGCGCGGGCGCAGTCGCTCTGGCCATTGGTCGCGCTTTAACAAATCCCTCCGAGGAACAAAGTAGACGTGAGTTAATTATTGGGACCACCCGCGCACTCGTGTGCGCAGCACTGCACTGTGAGCACTGCGAGCGGTGCCCTCCGCCCCCTGACAATGGTCCAGTGATACATTCCCCTGGCGGCCACGCCGGCCATGCCGGGGCCCGGGCCCGGGGCCCGGGGCCGGCACGCCGACGTCGCCGATTCGCTTTCGGACGACACTGCACTGCCTTGTCTCATCCGCCGCCTTGCCCGCAGGACCCCTACCTGGACGTGCCCGAGGCCTCGACTTACGAGCTGAGCGCGTGCTACAACGTGAGCGTGGACTGCCGCTCCGGCGACATGGTGGCGCGCATCAAGACCAGCAAGCTCTTCTCCGGCAAGATCTACGCCAAGGGCTCGCCCAACTCGTGCGTGCAGGACGTGCAAGGCTCGCTCGACTTCGAGCTGCGCATGGCCTACGACGACGTCGAGTGCAACGTCAAGCACCAGGGCCTGGGCCGCTACCTCAACGACGTCGTCATCCAGCACCACGACACCATCGTCACCAGCTCGGACCTGGGGCTGGCCGTCACCTGCCAGTACGACCTCACCAACAAGAGCGTCTCCAACGAGGTCAGTAGCGCTTGCGCGCGCCATGTACATATACGCAACAAGCTTCTTTGAGGGGAGGGGGGGGATTTAGTCGTCTCCACGACCATTTATTCATAGCTCCACGCGTGGTCCAGGTTAAATTTACTGAAGCGGGAGAAGACCAACGGCAAAACACTTCCCTCATTTAAAATTTTTCTCCCCGGTAAAAAAAAAGAAGCCAGGTCCGTAAAATCGCATAATTCTTCCGGCCGTCGAAGGCACTTCCAATTCCCCCCGAGATTGCGCGAGCCGCAACGCCCCGCCACGCCACGCCGCGGCGATGGCAGCGCTAAGCCAGAAGCACGCCGCAAAACGGCAAAACTTAAACCGAGAAAAAGGAAGGACGCGAGAGAAAAAAAAAAAGGGAAGAGCTTTTGCAAAAAGTCATCAATACTGTACATAAATTTGCGGCAAAGGCGGGTGTTGGACTTGGGCCCATAAATCCGCGTGCCATCCGGGAGACATTTCGCCGTCGCGGCCGCGCTGCATTCTGCGACGCGGCGTGCAGGCGGCGTGCAGGCACCATGCAGGCACCATGCAGTCACCATGCAGGCGGCGTGCAGGCACCATGCAGGCACCATGCAGGCGGCTTGCACGCAGCGCCTTGCAGTGCAGCCACGGCAGCGCCCCGCGGCCTGCCGGGCGGCCGGTAGCGACGCGGCGCCCTCCGCTAGTCGGGTGGTCCTTTTTGTACGCCACGCATCGCGCCTCTCTTCATTAATTTCGCGTTAATGCCGCCGGCCGCCCCGCCCCGCCCCGCCGCGCCCCGCCCGCCTTGCATGCTTTCGCGGCTTCTGCCCCCGGCCGGCCTCTTTCCATTGAGCCGCCGGAAATCATTGATGCTCGAGGCAGCGCGCGAGTCAATGCCTTCCTGGGAAGTGGCGGCGCCTGGCGGCGCTGCGACGCCCCCGGCCCATTAACTTAACGCCGCGACGTTGCCGCGGGCCGGCGGGCCGATTGAGCCATCAACAAGCTGTACATAAAGAGCTTCGGAGTTTTACGCATGGCGCCTGATCGGAAAAGCAGTGCTTGCATGTTCGCTTTATCTTGCCCAAAGAATGTCTCATTAAGAGCTGGCCGATGAGGAGATCGATCTCCACGGCGACACGGTTCCAGAGACGGTTAAAGACAGGGGCGTAAAAACGGCCCGGATTTGTAGGGTAGCTTTTCAACGGCGGCCATCACAGCAGGGAATCCTGCGCGGAGCCATGGCGGAGCCCACGCTAAGTGGCTAATTTTTCAGAGCTCCTCCCACTCCTTCTTCTTCTTCCTCTCTCACTGTGAGGCTTCCCACCCACTAACTGTTGAGCACATCACTGCTTGTTCCTAGGTCAGGTGCCAGGTGCGGACGTTGTGTGTGTGTGTGCCGCTCAAGTGTTGCTGTTGCTAATTACAGATTGTGGGTTACCAGGTGGACCTGGGCGTGCGCGGCGAGGTCCGACCGGTGCTCACCGAGGAGGTCAACGTGGACTCGCCCAACGTGGCCATGAAGATCACCGACCGGCGGGGCAGCGAGGTGCTGCCCGCGGCCGAGGTGGGCGACCCGTTGGCGCTCCGCTTCGAGATCCTGGACCGCCACTCGCCCTACGAGATCTTCGTCCGGGAGCTGGTCGCCATGGACGGCGTCGACTCGTCCGAGATCGTCCTCATCGACTCCAACGGCTGCCCCACCGACCACTTCATCATGGGCCCCCTCTACAAGTCCGTCGAGTCCGGCAAGGTGAGCGCCACACACTCTTCACAGGGACGGCAGAGCGTCGTGATGCCAAGCCGGCGTCAAACGGGAAAACAGCAACCCGGCAGAAACGTAAACGGAACTAGTCAAATTCTAGAACTAGGCTAGGAGCCAGTGGCGGCCAAGTTTCCGTTTTCTCTCCGGGCGTGCTCCGAATGGGTGGCATCGGGGACTTGCATTAGTGCGCAGGGGGGCCGCCTGTGTCCGGCCGAGCAGACAGGCGCCACCACCGCCACCCACTTGGGCCGTCGCCTTGGCCGTCGCCTTGGCCGTCACCTCGGCCGCCGTGTTGTGACTCCGACTCAACAGACGGGGTCCTAAAGCCAACCAAAGCAAGCCAAAGCCAGCCAAAGCCGACTAAAGCGCACGCGGCCAGTGCCAACGTCCACTGCGACTCGCAAACACGGCCTATTACGACCCCGAGACCGAATCCCCGACGCCCGACGCATTGGTTCCGCCAGCGGCCGCCAAAGGGGTAAAGGGGGCGCCACTGCCGATCCACTGCGCGATCCACTGCCCCAGCACTGCGCCACGCGTGCCAACCGCGCGGCCGCCTCTCTAAATTCCCGACCCAACTACTCGCCGGCCGAACTTCCCCGCCGGATCGCGGTGATAAAACGTTGCAGCGAGGCGGCGCCCCTAAAGCCCGTCAACAAGCCAACGGCCGGCAACGGCGCACTAAGACCGACTCGCCCGGAGGCAGCCCAGAGGTCGGCAGCTCGTAAAAACTTGCGAAAACGGCCTGATGGGACATTTGCTTCAAATCAGTCAGCCGGCCAGCCAGCGCAAAGGCATCGCGACGCGCGCGCGTGTGTGTGTGTGTGTGAACTGTCTGCGCGCAATTAAATCCTAATTAGTTTACTTGACCAAATCGGCGGCATTAAGCGTGTGCGCAATTACTGCGGCGATGGCCGCCGGTGGCCAAGCCTTGCGCGGCGGCCGGTACCGGCCGGTACACGCAGAATTCGAACGAGCATGAAGCAATTCGCGCGGCGCCGCGGCGACGGACGGACAGACGGACGGACGCACGGACGGGGACGCTTCGGAAATAAGCCGTAAACTGGGCTTTTCCTTCCCACACTTACTTAGAGGAGCTACAATGGCAACGCAACAGCCCGGCCGAGGTGGTGCCGGTGCACTACACCACACACACACACACACACACACACACACACACACACACACACACACACACACACACACACACACACACACACACACACAGAGGGGGAACTCTTTGAGGCGAACGCTCCGGCTTCTTGCGAGAAACAGACCACTTATTGTGGCTAGCTGGCGCGCTAGGCGGACGCTGGGTTCAGGGCAGCCCGGGCGAGGGGGCCTTGGGTGCCCAAGGGCCCGGGAGGCCGCCCCACAATGCACTGCACTGGCCTGCACTGCCCTGCACTGGCCGTAATACCGCGAGCCTCTTTACGGCCCTGTCAGCGACCCTCGCAAACCCCGAGCCAATTTACAGCGTTAATTTGAGAGCGGCCCGGCGGACGATGACAGCGGCCAAGTCGGCGGCTGGCGCGCGGGATCGAACCCGGGCCGCCCCGTCCGCGCGTCGATCATCGCCGACGGCACGGTAGCGACGCGAGGGACGCCGAACCCATCTCAATTAGACTGGCGGCGAAAACGCGAACCGGTTCGGGCGGCGCGCGCCACAATGCATCGCGATGCACAATGCGAGGCAATCTGTTTTAAAAAGTGCATCTAGGCTACTCGTTGCGGCTTATAATTGAAACACCGCACGCCGCGAGGAAAAGGAAGCGGGGAAAAAAGCACGCGCGCGCGCGCCGGTGGCGGGACTCGAACCCCCTCCGTCCGTGCGTCTTCCTCCACACTGGGATGAGCAGAAGCGACTCTGACGGCAAGTCACATAAATAAAGAGGACCGAAAGCGAGGTTCGCGGGGGCCGCGGCGGGTCCGGCCACGACCACCCTGACCGGGGGCGACGAGTTTCGGCCACAGAGAGGCACTCCGGCCCGGACGGAGCGCCCCGACCGGGGTCCGGCCGAGGTCCGGCCGAGGTCCGGCCGGGCTCCGGCCGAACTATAAACCGCACGCAGTCTAAGACGGTGGTATAATGCTACAAGACAAGCGGATAAAAGCGGGCATAAATTTCCGGGGCCCAAATGGGCGGGGAAGCGGCCTCATGGCTACTTCTTGACTTTGCTGCGCGCCTCGCCGCCGCGCCGCCACACGGGCTGTTTTATGCAGAACAGGACGGACGGGACGAGAGAGCGGCGCGGCGCGGCGGCAGGGAAGACGCCTTTTGCTCCTTCCTTCCACCATTTCCCCCGATAGGTTGAGACGTCGTCCACTCCACGCGAAACCCAAGGTTCCCAACGCCATTTTCAGTTCATTTCGTGGCGCCGCCGAAGCGCCAGTTCTGGTTCTTGACGCCCCGTAAACCGTTGGCCGAAAACGCGAATCCCGCGGATGACGCGCAGTCCTTCAAGATGGCAATCGGCACGGACAGGTCGCGAGGGCACGGACGCCTTTCATGCGCACGCCGCGCGCACCGCGCACGCGTGTCTGGGCTGCCTGGCTGCCTGGGCGGCACACAGTGGGCCAGAAGACCGGTGGAGGCGGCCAAAACTCCAGACGCGATTGGGCTCCAGAGTCGCTAAATGGGACTCGAACCGAACGTGTGACCCCACCAATGGATTCCTCGTTCGTAGAGCAATCCATTGGTGGGGTCACACGTTCGGTTCGAGGCCTGTTTAGCGACTCTGGAGCTCAAAACGCGTCTAGAGTTTTGGCCGCCTCCACCGGTCTTCTGGCCCACTGTGCGGCAGAAAGGCCCAAAGGCCGAAACGGGCAGCAGCTCCCTTTCATGCGGCGGCCCGAGGAGGTAGACGACCCGCTAGACAAAAGACGGCGCCACGCCGCGCCACGCCGCGCCACGCCGCGCCACCGGGCGAGCGGGACGCGACGCGGCTGTGCAAATATTCGCCGGCTTGTCCGGGTATGCAAACACGCCGGGGCACACAGTCGTCATCGCCGCCACAAAAAAAGACCTCGCACAGTACACCATTCATTGGCGCGCAAATATTTAGAGGGAGGCAGAGAAAGAAAAGCAAAACAAAGAGAGAGGGAAAAAAAAGTTGGCAACGGCCGCGACGCGTCGTGCGGTGCTATCCTCGCGCGACAGCGGGACAGCGCGGGACCGCGGGGAGGGGGCGCAGGGCGCAATGTAACACAGAGCAAGACAAATTGGCGCTCCTTGGGCGATCATGCGAAGTCATGGGATGCGAACATGCAAACAAATGGCGGAGGAGCGGGCGGGGGCAGGGACCTGGCAGGGACCTGGCAGGGACCTGCAGCACACCGTTTAGGAATTCTTTTCGTCTCGCAGACTCGCAGACGCAACGCGCCGGCCGAGGCGGGCCGAGGAATCCGCGCAATGCGAATCGCGTCGATCCAAAGCCATTCCTCCGAGCCGAATTTCCCGTCGCCCTCTCTGCGCCCTTTACATGGGTGAAAGGGAAGAGAGGCTGGCAAAAAAAAAGGCGCGACTCGCTTTTCGTGGCGTCGCGCTCGCCTGACGAAACGCCTTCAAAGGAGCCTCTGCCTGCGCCGAAAAAAGCCCGTCCGACAGGATTACATCGATTCACTTTCCTCGTTGCATAGCAGACGACACAATGGCGGGCGTCATAGCAGGCGACGCGAATCGGCCGCGGAAGTCTCGCAACCGAAAAAAAAAAAGAGTCAACAACCCTGGCAGGGCGTCGCGGGGCGCAAGGGAGGACAGCTATGCGTTAACGCGCCGGAGCCAGCCGGAGCGAGGAATAAAAAATAAGCCGCGCGGCCGCTAAATGCGGGCGGAAACGTTAACGAACCAGATCCAAATCGCGCCAAAGAAAGGCTGCCTCTCACGCGAAAACGCTGTAACAAAGCGGCGACTCACTGCACTGCCCTGGCCGGCAGTGCGCTGCCAGTGCGCCGGCACTGCGCCGGGGTCAATGGCAGGGAACCTTTTTATGGCGCTTCATTTCGGGAGAGGGCTCCGTGTGTTTGCACTGTAATCGAGACGCGCTGAGGCGTGCCAGGCGTGCCAGGCCGCCCCATACACACCTGGAACAAACACGGGGACACACGTCAGCGAGGTGCATACAAGGCGACACTGAGAGACGGCTTGTGTTGCAGGTGCTGCTGTCCTACTTCGACGCCTTCAAGTTCCCCTCGTCCGAGGTGGTGCAGTTCCGCGCCCTGGTCACGCCCTGCCTGCCCGCCTGCGAGCCCGTGCAGTGCGACACGGAGGACTCGTCGGGAGAGCTGCGCTCCGTGCAGTCCTTCGGGCGCAGGCGGCGGCGGCGCTCCACGTCCTCGACGGCCGTGTCCAGCCCCAGCGCGCGCGAGGACCTGCTGCTCGTGCAGAGCATCCGCATCATGGACAAGTTCGGCTTCGACCCCAGCAAGCTGGCGGGCAACGCAAGCGAGAGCAGCACGGTGTTCGTGTCCGAGGACGGCTCGGCCGCCGTGTGCGTCAACCTGGCGGGCGTCGTGGTGGCGGGCATCGTGTTCCTGGCCGCGCAGCTGGCCGTCATCGCCGTGTGGACGTGCGTGTGGCAGCGCCGGCGCGGCAGCAAGCAGCGCCACCTCGACGCCATGGACGGCATGTCCGTCAGCGTGCCCTCCATGCACTCGGGCCACGCCGGCAGCCACAGCAGCCACGGCAGCAGCCACGTCTCGCGCACCGACTCGCTGTGCAAGCTGTACGACACGGGCTACGCGCGCCGCTTCTAGGCCCAGCCGCTCCGAGGCCAGCCCGCCAAGCTCCCAGGCCAGACTCCACCCTGCGGTCGCGTGACCCGGCTGTGGACTCGGGGCCTTTGAGCTCGGCTTTGGCTGAGGCTTTGGCCCAGGCTTTGGCCGAGGCTTTGACCCTTGGCACTGCACCTCACACTGCAGCGACCCCGGCAAGGCCAAGCGAGGCCACGCGAGGCCTGCAGGCCGGCCGCCCCGGCCCGCGCTGCGCTCCAGCTTGCTCCAGCGTCGAGGTTCCCGCTTCATTACCTCATCGACCAAGTACAAACTGCCACCACGAGGCGGGCAGGGGGCGCCACCATCCCTAGGGATGTGCCATCGACGAAAGACGCGGATCTTCAATCAAAAGAATATCTCAAGCAACATTTAATTTCTGTTTAAATCCGAGAACCATGTGTGAATGTATGTTGAAACCGCGTGCATGACTGGTTCAATGCCAACGAGGACTGTTCAGTGAGCCCGTTACATCGAACAAAGGAGATCACAAGACTGCCCCCTTTCTTTCTATCGTATCGTTAACGTGCTTTAAATGAGTCAGGTAGATTGATTAAAAAGACGGCAGCGCGTCAAGGACGGTGTCAGCACTCCGCCGCTTAAAAATGCATGGAATACTTTACACATGAGCTATGGAACGACCGACATGACTACTAATACCAGCTCAAATGTTTGTGACTCTGACGGTTCGAAGGTTGACTGGATTTGTGCGGGGTGACACACACTCAAAGCAGGTTGGCCTGATTCAATGTCTCGCTGCACATGTCGGAATGCCACTTAACTTTTGGTACCTATTTAACGATGACAACGATTTCTAAAGAAGAGTATCACCCTGTAAAAATGATGCCATTTAATTATACAACAACTCTGAGTATATGTTTAAATATAAGATACATGAAATTGTCAAAGGTAAACAAATCAGTAATGCTGCCGGCTAAACGGACTAAAGATAGAGCCGAGTACTTCACAGAGATTATGGTGATAAAACTTTTGATACAAGAGGTTAATTTTTTGAAAAATTTGTGCAATTTGTATGAAAGGCTCTTTGTAATATTAGTGGAATACGTGGGCTGCAGCGGATGTCCGAACGGACGCTCTCTCGGCCGCCGTCCATTTTACGTAGAACTTTAAAAGATCCCTTCATTACTCGAAGTACGCAAAAGTTTAATTATACAAGTATGAAGTGAGAATGATATTTGAATGTGAATGTGTGTGTGTGTGAGTTTGCCTTCCCAGAAGTGAAAGTCTATACTCCTTTAGTATAACAGACAGAAGTGAGTTTATCTTTAGGTAAAGCGCAATTCTACAAGGGCATAGGTTCGTATGGAAAGCATTGATACAATAGTAAAAGACTTCTAGCTCCACGATCCAAGCAGACAAGTGCTGCCATAAAAAGGAAACACCCACAGTTTTTGTAGTAAGAAAGAAAGTAAAGTCTGCTTGGGGTTAGGAAGGCTTAAAAATTATTTGAACTGGAGCTCTCTTGACCGAGTAATTATAAATATATAAATATATATAGGTATACATATTTAAGAAATGTTATATTTAATGACGATGAGGTGAGGATGACCTGCTCGATAATTTGTGTGTTATATTTATATCAGTGTGTGTGAATGAGTGCGTGTAAGAATATCGAGTGTTTGTCCTCTTCTCGAATTATCAGGGTCTACAATCAATCCAAATGTTGGATTACGCTTTGTACCCTAAAGTTTTCTTCAAAATAAGAAAACATTCAAATTGAAAGACAATCACAAAGATGTGGAACATCATTGCAATGTAGGTCCTGAATTTAAAATGTTCACTCACACTTCGTCTCTCAAGATAAAATAAAGAGAAATGTACCTGTGAACTTGTGCGTTTGGTGAGATGCCAGATGCAAAGAGAGCCTGGTGCGGCATGACATCAATTTAAAACGTGCCTTCCTGTGTCTACTTATGTAATAGTTGTTCGTAACATTGACGCTTTTCTTTTAATAAAAAAGGAACTAATTTAATTTATTGAAATACGTGCCTTTTGTTTCTCCCTTTTACCATCCACATACGAAATGCTTTTTTCTCGCAACTTTGAAAACAAACTGAAAAAAACCAAAAGGCTAATCAAATTTTGAGTGTCGCAAGTACACACAACGCTAAACTAACTGTCGTCTTTTTCACGACGGTGGGGCTCGCGTAATGATACTGCTTCCGACAAAATCAATATCATTTAAGACACTGAGAGCTAACATTCCACACGCATGTGACAAGAAGCAGAGAAACAATCTCTAGGCCAACCCAACAATTACTCTTTGTTTATGTGTCGAAGTGTTCGGGAGAGGAGGGTAGAACGAATTGGAAACGTTCGGACAAACATTTTATTACCAGCTCAGCAAAAACTACACTTAGTGGTGGCGTCCCGAAGATGCCCAGGGTAAATTGATGGTCACAGGGAGATGCGCCGTAGGGCTCCAAAACCCAAGGCCTGTAAAAGGAAAGTAAGGCATTGCACGTACACTGTGCACGACAAAGGGACCCAATCACGTCGGGGATTGACTCGCTTTGGACTCGCTGTGTGCGCTTGTCAAAAGGTTAACTAACTGGCATAACGGTCCTATTCAATCGGCCGACAGGCTCGCAGAGCCTGCCCGCCCGCCCGCGCGGGGGCTTGGAGGATTTCGATTCGTTTTCCCACAGCTGACAATTCGCTTGAAGGGCCTGGCTTGAGCTGCTCACGCCAAGGCTGACCTACGGTCGCACATCATGGTGCAGTAAAGCCGACCGCAACAAATTAGCAGGCTTTGAGTGCACACTGAAACGGAGGCACAGGCACGTCAGTCACAGCCAGACGGCCAGACGAATTTTCGCTCCTCCGGTGCGCGTTTCCCCGTTGAGAGTCTTTATTCCGGGAGCACGTACACTGTGACGGAAACAAAAACATGAGGCCCGCAAGTTTAGCGCGCCGACGCATAAAACAATCACTCCGCCGTCGACTCATATATCCACTTAACGACCGTGGCGTTTGGGGCAAGAGGAACATCGCTCGTCTACTTCTAAAATGCTGCAGGTCTCGTAATTAAAACGGAGGTAAAAGTGCCAACGGACATCGCCCAGCGACCGGGAATTACACCTAAAATCCCCAGCGAAAACAAGAGGCGGCGGTTCGAAACAACTGCACGACCCGCTCCCAAGCACCGGCAATGCCATCTGAATCCGCTCCTGCCAGGAACCCTCCCAAAAACGGGGCCTGCAAAGGACGAATCTAGAAAACATCTGGAGCTCATGGCATGTGCCGCTATGCACCTGTCTCGAAGGAGGTCATAACCAAGTGGAGATGGGTTTACACCCATTGTGAATAATCGGCCGGACACCTTTACGGCCTGCCTGCCCGTGGTCTGCCCATGGCTCTTGCCATGGCTTGCCTGTCGCGTAACATTCCGTAACAGCTGGCCGAAACTATCAGGTCGGCGCAACGGCAACCAGCCGAATTCCTCCCGTGGAACCATCCCACCTTCCCGAGAAAATTCAGTTGGGCAGAAAAATTCTTCCGACGACGATTCGATAGCATCGTGGATGAGGGAGGGACTACCGGGCAGCATGCTTCCCGCAACTCGGACAAAATTCCGGTGAGCCACGCAAGCCTGCGCAAGCCTGCGCAAGCCGAGCTGCTCTTCCGATCGATTCTAACGGTGTGCCAGCGCCCAGCGCCACCAACGCGCGTCGCGCTGCGGTCCGTGCGCCAGGGCATGCGCGCGCGCGCACGCACGCACGCACCAGTGCACTGCCAGCACGGCCACCCGCAGCAGCGAGTCGTTCTCGTAAACCGAGTGACCACTAGGTCAGGCCGGCGCAGCCCGGCGGCCCCCGCACCTTTCCGTTCAAAATCAGCCGGGGATTCGCAGGAGAGTTTAGAGCGCCGTGCCGACCGGGACTCGCAAGGATAAATCACGCGGGGCGGGGCGGGGCGGGGCGGGGCGGGGCGGGCAGCGGAAGGAACGCCGACCCTGGGGGTCCGGGCGGGGCACTGCGCATTCATCCCGTTGTGATCTACTTGAGAGGGGAATTTGTCAATGAAACATTTCCCTATCAATTTTTGCGCGGTGCACCGACATGGCTACCAGCCTACCCGGATAGTGTGGCGCTGCGTTGATGGATGGTGGCCGCTGCAGCCGCTGCAGCCGCTGCAGCCGCCGCAGCCACTGGCCGAGCCAGCAACAAGGTATCAGGGGTATCAAACATGGACACGGCCCCACAGGGCACCAGGGCCCCGCAGGGGGCAGCGGTCTGGAATGTAGGTTAGCAGAAAGCCGAGGGGGCGCGCTCCCCCAGACTCCCCCAGGCTCTGGCTCCCCGCAACCCCCGCCAAGTGGACCCGCGGAGCCCCCACTGAGGCATTGTCCACTCTGTCCTCCTCGTAATCTCAATACGAATAGCGCCCTCGTTAGCAGTGCGTGACACATATTCACATTCCGCCGGTGTGTTGTGTGTCAATCCGGCATACCGCATTGAGCTCGGTACACACGTGCGCTCCGGGGGGGCCAACCAATCTGGTCGCCGCCCCAGTGGCGCCAGCCTGCGCCAGCCGACCCGGAGATGTGCTCGGAGCAGCAACAACCTGCTGGTCGACAACAACGACGTCCACTCGTACAAAACTCGGGCCGATCTTGCCCCTTCCTACTCGGAAAAGAAATCATATCTATAACCTGATCGGTGTCCGTCCGTTTATGGTCGGCATAGTTGAGTGCGACTAATCGAGGGGTCCCAAAAGGGGTCCCCGAGAAGTCGTGCTGGGGGACTGTCCGGCCGTACTGCCAGCGCACGGCAGGCAGCGGAGAGAAAAGGGGCTTTTTGTGACGTTTTTTGAGCGAGTGTGGCGTGAGTGTGTGTGTGTGTGCGTGCGTGTGGTTTTCGCCGAAAGTAAAACCGACTGAAAAAGTGCTTCCCCCTCCGACTCCGAGCCGACGCTCCGCGCACTCCAACAAGTGGCACTTCTTCTCGTGAGCCGCAGAAAAGGCACGCCTGTTTCCTCATACAGCCGCCAAGCCATTTGAAACAAATACGTAATCCCTCGGGGAGTGGGAAAAAAATAAAAATGAACCCCTTTGAAAGCGGAGCAGGCAGTGCCCCGCCACGGCCTCGGCCACGGCCCTTCT